CTGATGAAGACATCTGAGCTCCCACTCATGTCCCATTAAAGTGACCTGGAGAGATTTTTTAAAAAATTCTATCCAAGGCAAGTGAAATCTCAATCTCTGGAGGATGAAGCCCCAACACGAGTAGGTTGGGGAAACCTGCCCAGCTGATTCCAATGTGCAATCAGGGTTGAGAGTCACTCTGCAGACCAGGATAAGGCTGTGAATTGGGCCTCAGGAGCCACCAGGCTCATTTCAGTTCCACCTGCAGCATCTGTCTTCCCCAGCTCATATTCCTCATTAAGAAGATGATTATCCAATCATTAACTACCCACCATGCAAAATATTACAAAACACCAATTGACATCCAAGAGAAAAGTACTCAGAAGTTCAATGTTAGAGAAATATCAGCTTGCTGTTACTGTGCTACAGAAAAACAAATAGCATCTATCTCGTCCCATGCAAGTTCACCGCAGGCTGAAAAAGAAGGATTAGGAAATCAGAAAGGAGAGATGACTAGAAGTTCACACTCACAAATAAATGCCCCTAAATACGCAGAAGGATTCCAGAAAGGCTTATGTAAACATTATCCTTAGAAAAAACAAACAAACAAAAAAATTCCTCTATTGTTAAGCTCTATATACAGAATGCCAAATGATTTGCTACTCAAATATGGAAGATGTTTTGCCAGAATGCATTGCACACTTGGATACAGGAAGATTTGCATTTGATTTGGCTTTACAGAAGTCAATGACTATAGAATCCATTGCTCTCGTTTGAACATGCCCTGGTACCTGACCCCATGCTACTGCACTAACCAGATTGCATTCTCCTTGCATTCCATTTCTCCTCCGTGGGCACCCAGTTTTCTCCAACAAGGTTCTGATGAGGCTTCTTGAAAGGTTGAGGGGTGGGTGATCTCCAGCAGTGAGAACCCGCAGTATGTCTGCCAGTTGGCCTGGACTCCCAGAGCCGCTGCTGTCCTGGGTTGAGGGTCTGTCTGTCTCAGTAGAGGGAACGAGGCTGAGTAGAAAGAACAATGGCACCCAAGATCCTGACAGCTTTATCCAATAGCACATTTCCACGCTTCCTTTACCTCGAGTCTGTCTCGGATGGAGATGGGTGCGTTGCCGTTCACGGGATAAAGTCATAGCCAGAGGAATTTCTGTGGTAGAGGGGAAAAATAAAGCCTTCAATTATTGTGCCTGCAACATGTTTGAAAGGATTCATTAATTGGGTGGCTAAGCTGATTTGCAATGACAAGCCGTTTCTAAACAACAGGGGGGCTGTAGGTAATTTATAACCCCAAACAACAGCAGGAAACTACCGTGGCTGTAAGACTTTCAAATTGCACAAGACCGGCCAGAAACCCTGTTAGTTTGCCTCTCCCTGAACTAAACATAGCCTCAAAACTTAGGAAGATTCAATTTCTCTGTTTATCTGCAGGTGGTACAAGTTATAGGACCCAGGATGGGAAACCCCTTTTTATCCTATTGTAGAGAATTCCAAGTGATTCGTGGTCCTCTCATCCCTAGACAAAAATAAAGAGAAAATAAATTCTAATAAATTACCAATATAATGTTGAATTAGAAGGTTCTAGACAAGGAATAGTGCTGGAAGAAAACAGTAATGTTCAGAAAACACGGGTCATTTTTTTAGT